CATCTAGGGTTGGGGGATTCAATTATGCGATAATCAAATATTAAATCACGTGGTAATAGTGTTGGCAGGAGAAACTTAGAGGTTTCGCCACAGACGAAAGGCGAAACCTAGTTTCGACTTTCGCCAAAAAAATATTAAAATGGCGAAATGGCGAAAGGTGGCGAAACTGGCGAAACTGGCGAAACTCTGTGAAACTGTGGCGAAACTAAAAAAGGTAAATTAATAAAAAAGTGAGAATAAAAAGACAATTAAAATTTTTTTATATAATAAATATTTTTATTCTATATATAAGCTTATATATATAATAAATATTTTTATTCTATATATAAGCTTATATGTAAATATTATATATTATTCATATTATATTTATTACAATATATAGATTTTTTATAATAAAAAATTTTTAATAATTAGTAATTTAATTATAAATTAAAGATAATATAAATAATTTTTATATTTATTTATAAATTTAATAGAATTATTTTCTTTTTATCAAAGATATTTTTTAAATATATATTTAGAAATAATAAAAAATTATATTTATAAAGATCAAGTATATATTTGGACAAGAATCTGTGCATATGCTTGGAGAGTGTGCATTGATAAAGTTATACTTAGAGAGGTTTGACTGCATAAATAATTTATATAATATAAATAATAGATAAAGTTTTTAATTTAAAATTTAGTTATTTTGATATTTTAACAAAATAAATTAAAATTTATTTTAATAAATTTATAAAAAATAAAAAATAAAAAATAAAAATATTTTTATATAGACTCTTACCCAATCTAATATTTAAATTTTATTTTGAAACACAATATGTGTATAATTATGCTGTTATATACAATGTTTTTTGATCAATAATCTAAATTTTACTATTATTTATTTTTATAAATTAAAGTTTCCTTAAAGTTGGCTCTAAAATTTATAGCTAGATAAAATAAAGCATTGAAAAATATTTGCTAGTAAAAATAGTGTTAATAAACTACTTACATTGTACAATATTTAATTATTGCTGTTTGCAAAGTGATTGAAAATAGCAAATAATTTGTTTAGTATACTTATAAACTTGTACTCGATACTTTAGCACGTTGATTGAAAATTGATGTGCAATCAATGTGCTATGGTAATCAAGTATATGAATATTTGAGTGTTAAATGTACACTAAAAAAATTATTTATCATTTTTAAACACAGCAATAAAGTTTTTAACAATAAAATATTAAAAAGAAAAAATCTCAACACTCTAACAATAAATTTATTTAAATATTTAAATAGGTTAATATTTTATAAATAATATTAATTTATAGATAAGCGCTACAAAAAAAACAAACAAGATTTTAGGCTTTGAATTTTCAAGGCTGAATTTATTTACTTCAAAGTTCCAAAAGCTAGAAATTTAATTTTCTTTAATAGTATTGAATACAAACAAAAGTTATCACTTTGTTTATTGCTTTTGTATATTTTTAAATAAGCTGTATGCTGTGCTTAAAAGCTATATACAAACTATTTTGATTTACTAACATGGCTCAGTCTTAGAGGGCTTGATCTTTGTCAAATTTTGATTTTTATAGGAGTTTCAATTTACTAGAGGTTTACCAGAATTTTGCCAAAGTTTTGCAGTTTCGTCAAAGTTTTACTGTTTTACCAGAGTTTCACCATTTCACCAGAGTTTTATCAGATTTCATCTTTCACTAGTTTAGTTTCGTTTTTACTATTTGCTAAAAATAGTTTTACCTGCCAACACTATATAATAATATAATATATTGATTAACTATTAGCAAATGTTGAGATAAATATATAATGAGTGATAAACATTAAATCCAGGTCTACTGAAAAATTAATTTCAATTAATTTTTGCTTTACATTATACAATTAAAATCAATTAAACATATCATAAAATTAATTAAAACCTAATTAATGATGAAATAATTGCAATTAATTGCAATTAAGTTCAATTTTCTGCATAAAGTGTTTCTTGATATAGCTTGATTTTTAAATAGCAAAAAATTAAAAATCATATGTATTTACTGTATTAATGATGAATATATGATATGAAATCCAATTACTTAAAATTGCAATTAATTGACCAATTGTAACTGACTATTAATCAATTAATTGAGGTCGAAAATTGCAATTAATTACTCCTAAAATTAATTATTCATTAGGTCTAATTAAATCACATTAATATATAAATCTAAAATATTAATTAATAAGTAAACCAGTTTTTTAATTAATAAGTAAACCAGTTTTTAATTTATGCTGTTACAATTCTATTTGACATATTTATTCTCTATTGGATGTTTAAGCTTCTGAATATATCTTTTTAATATTGCTACTACAGTCAATACCACCTAAAGCCAACAACTTTTATATATAGACGCTAATTTTTTAGCTGTAATATAATATGAATAACCAATAAAAATGTAGAAAAATTTAATATAAATTTAAATTTTATTAATAAAATTTAAAATTTATTAATCAAGTTAAATTTTGTTATATTTTTTATATATAAGTGCCAAATTTTTAACCTATATATAACTTTAAATTAATATAAACTTCATAAAATAAAAGATACTAAAAAATTTTATTTGTAAATTTAATAGTTTAATCAAAAGCTATTAAATTTATAAAAACTTTATTCAGTTTATTTTATTTTAAAAAAATTATAAAAGTATAAAATTTCATAATTAAAAGTTGATGGCTTTTCATAATAACAACTGTTATTTTTTTTTTTTTTGTAATCAAGGTTAGCCTCTTTGGCTCGTCGCTTTTTATTAGATTATAGAATCATGTGGTGCCCTTTCAAAGGGGCCCCAACAAGTACATTCTGATGAGGATACATTCTAGCCATATCTATGCCTTTTGAGTGCCTAATTTAGTAGTTATACTAAGTACTATACTAGTTGCTGTACCTATAACCCACTATTATTTGGATTATCCAATTAAACTCTCTGATCTGAGTTTCCTATGCCAATCCATCTAATTTCACCCGAAACATGCGATACATTAGTCAGTCCAAGTTCCAAAATCATTGCAGACTACCTATAGGACTACCGGCTTTTTACCGATTCATCTTCGAGTGCATCACCTGCTAGAGTAGTCTGGTACCCACTATTACCATACTACCTAGTGACAACCTAGCATTCTCCTGAAAAAAAGCAGGCATTACACACGATCAGGTTACACAAAATGAAGATCTTAGATAATGTACGAACATTCAAATCTAGTCAATAGTCAAATCATCAATAATGAATTAATAAAAATTAAAGATTGTTTTTACATATACTTGCGCTATATAGCAAATATTTTTCGATATTCCTTTTTTCGTTGTGTAGCAGTATGCAATACACATTAAGTTTTACATCTCTGAACATAGATCATCATATTTATTATTAATCTTTTATAAATATGTTCGTCTCAGACTTGTATTGCCCTCTTATCTACAACTGAAGCTTTTTGTTTTAATGCTCTTTATGATTTGTGCATGATTAGTTTATTGAATGAATATTACTAAGCAAGAAAACAACATACAATCAACTTATATAGTATTTTTGCAAATATATTATAAACTTCCATGTCGATTATTCATATTTATTCTCCTTGTTAATAATGCTAATGAATAAAATCGACCAAATCAGGCTCTAATATATTGTATAAATAAGAATAGTCTTTTTGCTCTAGTTAGGCTAATAATAGAATTCTCCTAAAATTAATTAGACAAATTAGTCTTAATTCTTATTAAAAATAAAGTTTTTTTCTATACTTTGATACAGGAATTTTGAAATATTTATTTGTTTTTTTTTCATGAAGCTTTTAGTATTAATTTTACTATTTACAATGTTTCTAAGGCGTGGTTATATCATAAAAAAAAGAATCAGTAGAAATCAAGTGTAAAGGTCGAGAAAAGGGTAAAACGTTAGCTTCATTAAATCTCCATTAATTTATGCGATTTAACTTTCTCTTTGTATTTAAAGATTAACTACAAGATTGGTGTAAATATATTTTTTAATTACCTTTCATACTGATTATATACCAGACAAATCCATTTGATAAAATCTAAGCGTTTTATTATTTGCATGAAATCAATGATAAATATTGAGATTCAAAAGGATGAATATCATTACTTCACATATATTTCTATATATGAAATAATTACAAAGCGTTTAAAAAAACAATATAATTTATTTGTTAAGCATTAACAATATAACAAGTAATATGTTCAATAGTCATAGATTTTCTAGTAACTTTGACATTTTCTTATAACCTTATTAACAAAAAACTTTTGTGTTAGTATTTAGTCATCAAGATTTGAATTTAGATAACAATTAATAAATTAAAAATTGAGCAATTCATATAGTACTTGAAAAGATCAAATCAAAAAATTTTATACCAGCAAGGCCATCTATAATAGTCATCTTGTATTACAATTTTCCGTATAGTTATAGAACCTTATAGCTTTAAAAAATTTTTTGTCACTAAGAACTACACAATTATTACCACAAACTTCTATCTAAATAAATTTATATAGATAATTAGTTAGTATTCTTGACATATATTAAACGTTAAAATATACCTGATACTGACAAAATCTGCTGTTTTAGATACAAAATTTGTAGGTTGTTTTGAAATTTTGCATCAGACTTTAAAAATATGAATATAATTAAAATCAATTTCACCAATTCTTAAAATTTTGTTTACTCGCTTACATATGTATTAATAACCAAATGATAAATATATCAACTCATCTTAGCAAAGAGTGTAATAGTTGTCACAAGAAAAAGGATCTTGAAGAGTTTCTTAAGGATGATAAAAAAGTTTTAAGTTGGTGTTATTCGTGTAGAAACAAACAAAAAACAACCCAACTTGAAAATAAAGCAGAAAACTAAGTTATAATCGATTACACAGATATCAGTGAGTTTGTATATAATTCTCTGATTTCTCTTGAAGACCTTGATGAGTTCTGTGAGAATGATAATACACAATTAGCTGTTAATTTTGACGTCGAGTTGTCTTCAGTAATTGATCTTATATTAAATGAGGATAATGAAAACTTTATTGACTAAGATGAAAAATTATACCTTGAAATTACCCGATATATCATCAAATTTATTGAAGAAGGTGATAGTTATAGGTAGACATATAAGGATAAAAATCAGAAAAAAAACTCATTATTAGTAATTTATCACTGTAACTGTCATAAAGATCGAGCTAAATGTCAAGCAAAGCATCCCAATCCTGAATCTCAAATAGATACATCAATACGAATTAAACGATATGATTGTGAAGGGACCGTAAAAGTTGAAGTTTTTGTTCCTTTAAATTTAGTTAAAATTAAATACTCACATTTAATGCTTCATCCACGTCCAATTCATATCGCAACATCTCTGGAAATTCGTGAGTTTATTAAAGCTAATATCAATTACTTGATTCTAGAATTGTATCATCAAATTAAAGAAAAGCAACTTAATGGATATGAAAATTTGACCATTCAACAGACTTACTTTTGGTGGTCTAAAGAGTCTCAAAAAATGTATCAATGTAATTCTGATCCTTTAATTTTAGCAAAATTATTATTAGCTGAATTTAATCAAGAAATTATTGTTAACTTGTCTTCACTAACACCTGCACTAGGATTTCTTACTATACTTTTTCATCAGCTTCCACATAATTTTAATGCTGTTGTAGTTGATTCAACTTTTGGAACCAATAAGATGGGATGGGAGTTATATGCACTTATGGGCGTAATCGATAGAACTGGATTTCCAATAAGTTATCTTCTAATAGCTGCAGAAAAAAATCGAAATATAACAGCTATTTTATCTCAATGGATGCAAACACTAAAAAATAAACAATTAAAGTTTTCTTATATTTTAATGGATAAGGATATTTGTGAAATCAATGCAGCTCAAAAAGTGTGGCCAGATGCCCGATTACAACTATGCTCCTGGCATATATTACGTGCTATTAAACAAAGAATTGCATCACGGAAACCATAATTTTAGATATATATAATCTAATTATTGCATATCAGGAATGTTCGATCATCGATCCTTACTGGAAAAGGCTTGACAATGACAATACTATGTATTGTCAATTGGAACTTCAGAAACAAGTAGTTGATCTAGTTGAAACACACTATAATCGACACATATTATTACCAAAATCAAATGGTGAATTTTATACAAGTCAACAAGCAATCTGGGAAGAATATATTAATGAAATGATATCTTTTTGTAAGGAAAATAATTTAATTAATCTTTGGATGTATCTTTGGAATCAATGGTATTGTCAAAAACAATGGGTTTTGTGGGCATGAGCTGTGGATAATGAAATTTGTCATATAAAACAACAATGATTGTAGAGTTGCATTGACAACATATAAAGCGCGACTATCTTTACAAATTTTACAAACCACAAATAGATCATCTATATTATATCTTAATAATAAAAGTCATTAATCAACAATTGTATTGAATTCATTTGTTACAACAAGCCCGCTATTCAGTACTCTGGCGAAAAGCATTTAAGCAAGAATGGAAAAAATTAGAAAAGCGAGAATCAAAATCAGAAAAATTATATTCTACAAATCTAAATCAATGGACATGCACATGTGCAGCATATATGAAAAGTAGATTTTTTTTATGTAAACATTTGGTGAACTCAATTAGTAAAGTGAATTCAGATTTTTTTAAAAGAGTACTATATACATATTATATATTTATTATTACTTTATTTTATTCTATTATTTATATACTTATAATTTTTATACATTAATTTTTAGGTTCAACGAAATAGAAATTATCCCCTAATTTCTACATATGAGGATGAATTCATAAATATGTTTCATTTTAATAATTCAGAAAATTATAAAATTTCAAATATTTTACTAATTAAAGAATCGATAGTGGAATATGAAGATGAATATATTGTAGATGATGATGATGAGTATGAAGTTTACCAACAAAATTTAGATTACTTGAATGGAATATTAATTAAAGTAAGTTAATAGTTACATATAATAATAATAATTTATAATGTATAAATATTTTAAATAATTATTTATTTTCAAAAGGTTCAAAACTTGCTTGATCAATCACGTGAAAAGCATAAAGATCATTTATGGTTACAAAATATTCGTTCAAATTTTAAGCCGCTTGAAAAAATGGTTACAGATATTGAAAAGCTTGAAAGTCAGAATATGATTCCTAAAACATCCAAGGATTTTAATCGTAATACAACATACTGGTTATAATCTGGGTTTTTACTTGTTTGATATTTAGAAATTTCACATTTTTTTGCTTTTAAATTTCTATATTATAAGTATCGATTATATTCTTATATAATAGTCAATGAAAAGTAATGCTGGAAAGTTCTTTTACTATAAAATTTTATACATGTAAGCTCTATCAACTTTTTTAAACCATGCTTAGATAGAGAATATATATATAATCTTTCAAAATCTGATGTGTTCACTATATCTTTGTTAGTTATGATCAGATATAATAAATGACTATTTGATATAATTCTGGCCAAATATTAATTAATAAGTTTGATTGTTGTTACGTATCTATCTTGTGATAGTGCTATTTTACAAATATTTAAAATGTATATATGTATATTCTTTTATATTTTTCCCTCCAGTAATAATATAAACTTAAACACATTTTATTATACATAGAAGTAATCTATCAAAGAACAATATGTATTATCTAATGCATTTACCAATTCTTTATTAGTGCTTAGAAATTGCTATTGGCATAGACTGCCTCTTTGTCACTATTTGTCTTGACCTATTTTTTTTTAATATTTTATTTTAGTATAGTCAGATATTCTTAACTGAAAGCTGGGCAAATTGATTCAATAACCACAATGCAAGTTTGTCACAAACGTTACTTAATATGTATATATTTGAATCATTATTACTATATTATATTAGAAAATTTAGCGCATATATTTATTATATTGTCATACAAATTGTGTTATAATAATAAAAATTATATCACCAATACATACTTTTTACGAGAACAATAAAATTTTAATAATCAGATATATATTGTCAAGCCGCAAGACTATATTTTTATAAAGATTCATATATTTTTTATTACTTATAGAGGATCTAAATCTATAATATCAATCAATATAGACAAATTCGAATATTCGTACATTATCTAAGATCTTCATTTTGTATAACCTGATCGTGTGTAATGCCCGCTTTTTTCAGGAGAATGCTAAGGTTGTCATTACCTAGTCTACTTCAGTAACTTATGCCTAGGCCGAGACCAAGTACTTGCGAGCCGAAGCCACTACCATTACCTACTCTGCCCTTGTAGAGTTTACTCAAACCCGGTTCCTCCCCTTCAAGTCAACCTGGTACCTTCCCTTTCAGTACCCCCTAGCCGGTCTCCCTAGACTACCAATCTAGATGGCCCGGATAGGACACCTGTTTCTTGGTATCTGTACTGCAGATCCTTTTCTTCCGGCGATTCCGGCGGCCTGGTTGGTGGAGTACCTTTTCTCTGAATACTCGGTCCTCGTCCAGTTATGTCAGCCTCGGGTGAAGCCTATCCAGTAGCCACTATTGAAGGTTTGTGCTACCTCTCTATTCAGGTCTTGCCAAGCAGGCGTCCATCTTTCCGGTTCTCTGAGTTTATACGAACACGAGGTCTTATTTTGGGTTTGCACTAACTAATACCGGCTTGCATGCCTTCGTATAACTTATACATTGTACGAATACCCCATGA